ATGGGATGTCTGTGGGGTGTCGGAGGCAGACAGGAGTGAGCGAGTAACTAAAGACTGGAAAGCGTGGGGGATGATGCATACGCAGCATGCTTTCCGTCTAGGAAGTGCACCGCGGTTGCTTCGTGCACCTTGCTGAGGTTGTTCCCCAGGTCTGTGTCCTCGTTCAGTGAGGCGATAACACAGCTGACGCGTATCACCATCGGGCCAACACGCACTCTCGACTGAACACGCAGCTGCGCGACGCTGTTCCCGACCATGAGGCGGTACCGACCGGCTAATTTTCGAAACGTTTGCTTCGGGGGGTCCGTTTCCATTATCCTTGTGCCGGACACATCCCCACGGTTTCCCTGGCACGACGTTGCACTTTGCACGAGGAATTACCAACAGAGCTTTTGTGTGGTATCCAGGTCCCTGGCACACAACGCATCGGTAGTGGCAGCGGCCCAATCTGTCCCAATCTATTTCATATCTTTTTCCCTGGTGGATTCTAAAGAAAGACGGACCTCCCAAGGCGGGCAAGGCTTAGACCTATCAATGCAAATTTTGAACCTCATATTTTGATCTACGTTGGCGTTCAATCCGCCCGCTTTTGCCTAACAAAAGCTTTGTGGCTTACGTGCATTACCAAAATTCAGGCCAAGGAGGTCCGACAGTTCAGCTAGAGGCTATTAACCCGGCCTCAGAAAGGTTTTTCTGCATAAATTGGCTACTTCCTGGCTCATGACACCGCCTTTAGCGACCAAGACACATTTTCTACATCAGGTCTAACTTTGTGTTAAGGGGACCATGTGCCGGCTTGGGAGACCGCCGTTATGAACTAAGAGACCCCTTGATGAACTTGGAGGCCCCGTTTTAACAAGGAGGTTCCTTGGATGAACTAGGAGGTCCCGTTTTAAACTTGGAGACCTATTTCGAACTAGGTCCCCCCCCCCCCGGTATGACCTTGGCCCCGTTATGAACTGCAAGGTTCCCGCTATGAGCTAGTGGGGGCACGCTATATACCAGGAGGCCCCCCATGTGTACTAAGAGGCTCCCATTATGCGCCATGAGGCCCCATTATGAAGAAGGAGGCCATACACGCAAACATATCACTCTCCATGCGCACTCAAGCAGGGCCTGCAGTGTACCGCGTTCGGCCTCATTTCTAACAAGATACGCATGGAGAGTGCTAACTTTTGCAGCGCGGTCATCGCAATCCCGCAAGTCAAATTCAACCCGAACCGTTGACATCTTAATTCATAGAGCCCGCTGTTCCCACCTCCGAGGCATGGTTTTACATTCTGGTTGCTGGATGGGTCGTTGGAAACGATTTGACTAGAATCTTGAGCAAGAGAGCGACTTTACTCATCGGCAGTGATTTACATCCGCGTCCGCCCCACGAGAGCTGTAAACGCCTAAACGCAACCTTCTTCAGATTCAGCATTATGCAGCCATTCGAAGAACAAAAGTTTCCAAACGACCCACTCGTTTATTCTTCAGGCATATCGCGTGAACGTTCAAGAGCTTGGCCGTCGCCTTCCACAGCCGCGAAGGCGTCGCGTGGTGAAAATGACAATACGGTGCCAATCATGGTTAAAAAACCAGCAGCACATGCATCTCGTATGGAAATGAAGCAAATGACACAGGACAAGCACCAAGGAAAGCATAGTGATAAAAAAGTCACACCATCTGAATTCGGGGCATGAGGCCATAACCTCCGTGTAGTCCCACAACCACATCACTCTGCGAAAAGGCGTACAAATCCATGAAAATACTTCGAGATCTTCGGTCTACAACGAACAACTGCACAGCAAGCCGATTTCAGACACCACGCAAACGAAGTACAAGAAACGCATCACACTTCAACATCGTAATGGCTAGCCAAAAGGTCCGCCGAGAGCCTGGCGTCGTGCCCAGCCCTGCCAGATCAGCTTTTTGTTGTGGTGACTGCAGCATGGGGTGGGTGATGCGTCGAGCGCCAGCGACACCGACAGAACATGGCTCCGTCCGAAGGCATCGCGCGGAAGTCTCCGCATGGGTGCGGTCATCGTGCTGCCTAAGAAGCGCACGCCCTCCCCCTTCCCCCCCCCCCCCCCCCCCCCCCACGAGAGACGCATAGAGCCGTCATTGTAAACACCCCAAAGCTGTACTGCGCTGATAAGAAGGGGAAGCATACGCGAACCCCAGCGAGCGCGTTCGGACAGCTGGTGTGTGCAGCGCTCTTTGGCCAGCAAGACTGCTGATCGGGCAGCCCGGTCGGTTAATGTCCCCAGGGTAAGCAAGCGTCTCGACAAGGCGGTATTTATTTGCGCCTACTGGTAGCGACACGTTACGAAACGGGGGACAGAGCTTCCTCCCGGCATGTTCGTCGGCGCAAACACGTCCGTTTTAATATCACAGAAAACAGACCACGTCTCCAAACACCTCGTAGAAGAAATATGGATGCATCTCCAGGTCATACAGCGGGATGGCATATCTGAGATCCTGATAGCAAAAGCACGGCGTCGCCGGTGAGGACGAGTGGGGACGTTCGAGGACGCCAGCAGCAGGGGTTCTGAAACACCTTCAAGCCGCATCATGAGTCTCCTTTTCCCACACGCAGCAGAAAAACCAACCTACGTAAGCTGCACGTGCTGAACTGCGTCCGCCACGCCGCCCGAAAGAGCATGTCCTCAAAGATGCTGGTCTCGCAACAGCAGCAACACCCAGATGTGTGACAAGTTACATGGACGGAGAAGGACATCAAATTTGTGATGATACGACAGTACCTTATTGGGAAAATTTGCCACAGGCCCTTCGTTATTATTCCTGTAGTGCGACATCATACTGCAGGACAAGACACGGGTCAAAAGCTTCTACGCACCGTTTCGAAGTTCCTACGCTCCTGCGGCCATTAGCGTATGAATCGCTCTTTCACTCATTCCGTGGGTGATGTGATGTGCTAAGTGAGTCGACACTACCACGGACATCATCTGTTCCAGAAAGCTGGACGCCAGAACAGAAGCATCGGCAGATCACAGACACACCAGCGGCGGGCCCGAGGCCGGCACCGCCGTAAGGCCATTACAAGATGTTCTTATAAAGCTATGACCCCCGAACCCAACTGTCAATACCGGTGGAACCAAGATGTATTCGTAGCAAGAACAGCATACGGTCAGCGTGTGCGCCAGACCTATTGCCTGTCTTGTTTGTGGCCAGGAGTGCGTCATGCCGGGTGCACTGACCTCCCCGCGCAGCGTTCAAAGCGTCCGTTGTCACATTTGTGTGACCACGAAACGTGAAACGCTGTGAAAGAGGTGGGAGCTGCCATTGAGCGCCTGACCAGCGGCGTGACGTGACCGTCACTGTCAACAATGTGCAGGCCATGGCTTGTCCAGTCCTCCAACGCTGAAACTCAATCGATACACTGCTTCTCAGCGCCTTAATAAATGTCTCTAAATGTCGGAGAGCCAATCGCTTCGTTAACATTACTGTTCAAATTAATTGTTTCTTATTGCTCCAAGACTTGTGTTCTTTAATGAAAACGAACAAATCAAAAGCGGGCAATCTTTCCGCCCCTGACCGCCCTTAGTCGACATCATTTCAGGTATGTGCTCAATCACTCGCAAAATCCCATACGCATATGATCTCTTCAGCTTGTGATTCTGGATACCCTAAACCAGTCCACACCATGCCCCGAGATGTAGTGTGCAAACTCACACAAGCTACGTGAAGCATAACGGCAGGTCAAGTTTCACGAGGGCTAGAGCAAGTGTCCTAAAGGAAAACGCTTGAATCGGCAGTTGGCGGACGCCCGCGCCCGAAAACTCCATACTGCATTGGAGGAGAGTGTGGCACAGTGGCGTGCGCATGTTCCAAATCCTGAAATTAACACCACCTTCGGGATCGGGCTGCTCACGAGTAACCAAGATTGCACTGGAATAAAAATTGATAACCAACCCAAAATATAAACCTTTAACCTACCCTGAACACTATGACTGACTGCTGGCCCGTCGTTGTATCAGTATGATGAGCATCGCATGTGGTTCTCTTCACCAGCAGATTGGCTGCCGGAAAATGTGTCGTTTTTGGTTTACACGTATGCATCAAATTAAGCACTATCATTGATATTCAACATATCGCGAGTCCTGGATAGCGTTAGCACATCCCCTGAACCAAAGGCCGAGGAGATTATAAGCATGTGGGATGATGCGAGTGATGCCTGAAAAAATGTACCTGAAACAATGCTGACCTCATCATAGCCAACGGTTCAAGGCTGGTTTGTGCACTTGTTTAGCATAAATACCATTATTGGCATTTCAAAGATCATTTTTCACTTGGCCTCTCGGTAGACGTCTGATTAGACAACCCGCCAACCGTGTCACTGAAATCAGTGAACCCATACATGCCACCAGATATACATACTTTGGCCCCAGTGCTGTTTACCACAACAGCGCACACACACTGTCTGTTGCTAACGACTTGTCTGGCACAAGTTTGCCGCTGTAGAGCTTGGAAGTGTGAGGTGGCGGTGGGAGAGACCGATAGGCACCCTTCCATAGCGCCCAGCACACCCACACCAACGGAATCAGTACTCAGTCACAGACTATTGGACCACAGCCCCCAGATCACCAGCGGTGCCTGTCCCATGCCCGTTCCTGACCAGCGGCAGCCTCGTCCCATCCGTTACGCGCTCAGACAGCCTCCTGCGAACCAGGCGGCACGGGGCGAACGGCGGCTCAGATGGCCTCACCCCGTACGGACGGTGGCTAAGGTGATGGGTTGTCCTGGGCCGGGGAGGAGGGGAGGAGGGGGGAGCTGTACGGGCGGCGGCTCCGAAGGTGGCATCTCCCGGGCCGGGCCCGTACGGACGGTGGCTAAGGTGATGGGTTGTCCTGGGCCGGGGGAGGAAGGGGGAGCTGTACGGGCGGCGGCTCAGAAGGTGGCCTCTCCCGGGCCGGGCCCGCACGGACGGTGGCTCAGACGATGGGCTGTCCTGGGCCGGGGGGGAGGGGGGGGGGGAGAGCTGTACGGGCGGCGGCTCAGAAGATGGCCTCTCCCGGGCCGGGAGGCGCCGTGCCGACGGTGACGAGGAGCGCCGGCGCCAGTGTCACCGTCTCGGCGATCACCAGCTGCGGTCGGCTAGGCGGCGGCGGCGGCGGCGGCGGCGACTGTGACTGTGACTGTGATCGTGGCTGCAGCTGCGACTGCGGCTGCGACTGTGACTGCGACTGCGACTCCGACTGCGACTGCGATTCCGGCTGCGGCTGCGGCACTGACCGCTGGTGCGGCGGCGGTGGTGGTGGCGGCGCCGACTGCGGCGGCGGCGGTGGCGGTTTGCTACCTGACCCGCCGCCCAACGCCGGGTGGTACGTGCGCTCGTGCGCCGCCATCTGCGCCTCCGTGCGACACGCTTGGCCACACGCCGAGCACTGCAGCTGCGACGCGTGCTGGCGGCGATGGGCGCGCAGCAGCGTCTCGGTGCGGAAGGCGGCGGCGCACACGGCGCACGGGAAGGGCCGCTCGCCTGTGTGGATGCGTTGATGGTCGCGCAGCGACTTGCGCGTTGTCAGCTGTTTGTTGCAGCTCTCGCACGTGTAGCCGATCTGAGGGAGGGCAGCGGGGTCACGCCCGGAACGCAGGGAAACTCCGCAACCACGCGCCGATCGAGGTCCGGCGCTTAACACGCGCTCGGGTCAGGGAGTTGAATCTGACCCCCTCCCCCCAGAGGCTTTTTCCAGAATGATTTCTCAAAGCGACGCGTAGCAGCGCCAAACATTGCATGGCTGTAGGCGGCTGAAAAACGGATCTTTTAGTGCACAAAATTAGATGTTCAGGCCGCTGACCTATGGCGGGTCAAAGTCAGGTCGTGGCTTTCAGCGAAGGCAATTTCTCGGGAATCGTTCACTCTGATGCGACAACGGGGTGTTAGACGAAGCCAGGCACCCGGGTTTCTTATGCAATGGAACAACTAAATTTATAATTATAATAAACTCCTTTACCTAGGGTCAAGCATAAAAGTCAGAGCAAGGTCAAAACTAAATTTATTTTTCACCACGAGCTTGCTGGATCTGGTAGGTTCTGGTGCTCATTTCGATTCGCGCATATTTCATGTCATGGACCGCAATAGCCATGTTCCATGGACCTCCCAAATGTCAGAGGAGGTCACTGACGTAAAAATAACACAGGTCAACATTTTAATTCAGGAGCATATCGCCTAGTGTAATACCTGACGTTTAACCAAATGCCGAAATCGAAGCAAGCTCGTAGGTTTTGGCCCTTGACTTTCGAAAGGTGAAAAGTCACTTACCTTGAATAAAGATCCGTGACCTTTTGGCTATAACAGGTATCTAGGTCCAAGGCGGTTGCATGAGGAAGTCTGGGGCACTTTGGGTACCAATCTGAAGTTTACACTTGTTTGACCTTATTTGATCCAAAGATCACGACCTAGGAATATCACACTTTGACATAAGTGAGTTCACATGTAGGCCAGCCCACCCCGCGAATTTGGTGTCCAGCCCGCTTACTTTCTGAGATATCCGGGGAGTCAAATTGACCCCACCCCACCCGAGCGGATCGTATTTAAGCGGCCACCGGGCGCGTGTTAAACGCCTCGCATATGTACAGAAATTCGCCCACACTACCCCTCCCCTACCCCTAAACACTCCCTGCATGATAAAATAGGTGTATGTACGTAAAACAACACGTCATCCAGATAACACACGGACGCACACATGCACCCCCAGGGCGCCATCTGACCGGATCGGCCCGGCCCCGGTGCCCCAGCGAGCCTAACCAGCCGCGGCTCACCTTGTCGCCAGTGTGGGTGGCCATGTGCTGCTTCAGCTTGTGGGCGGTGAGGAAGCCCAGCTGGCAGACACAGCACTGATGCGGCCGGCGGCCCGTGTGCTCGATCTGGTGCACCTGCCGCGCGCCCACGCCCGTCACTGGCCCCATCGCCGTCCGAGCGATACACTAGTCATTGTATGGCGTGTGTTTCTCCTGTGATCATTGGCGCCGCGGCATAGCACCAGAGGAAATTAAGCCAGCAACCGGGTGCACTTCCATTTCAAGGTTGTGGTGGCCTGGTCTGGAGGCGGCGGGTAACGCCACGGAGGTGCCGCCTGTGACAGACCGTTTTTAAGCACGCTACGCTCAAATCTAGAGGGCCAACACTGACCCGAGCGGATATGACCTGACATCAACGACGCTCTCATCCGCATGGGCATGGACATTATCTGCGGTCATCACAACGCAGACCCCGCCAGACGGAGCCACCTCTCGGAGCCAGAACGCGCACCGCTGCACACGGTCGGTCGAGGCGTCGGCCCTCACCCACCTTGAGATGGTAGTCGGAGCGGAACTGGCGGCCGCAGGTGGGGCACGGGTATGGCGTCTCTCCCGTATGCACGCGCCGGTGGCACTTGAGGTTGCCCAACTGGGTGAAACTCTTGCCGCAGTAGTCGCAGATGTGCCGCTTCCGCGACGAGTGGACCTGATGGAGGGGAGGGTCAGCCTACGCAGGACAGCACACATGGATGCCTGGTGGCGCCCTCGATGTACACACTGGACACTGACGATTGGCGGAGCGATCAACACGAGCCATGCAAACCATCACAGCAACTTTTTAGAAACTCACACAATTTAGAGACTTTTTACACAATTTAGAGACAATTTTAGAGACTAACAGTCTCTAAAATCTCAGCTGGCATAGCTCATAACCACGGGAGCACGGCCAGCTCACTGTCTGCAACAGCCGGCCCCGTGTTCGGCCGTGCCCAACAACCACGCCTCAGCACGGCGGCCGTGCCGTCGGCAGCGGTCATCACCTGTTTGTGAATCTGCAGCGACGAGTGCTGCGTGAACCGCTTGTGGCAGTCGGGGCACTCGTAGGGCCGCTCGCCCGTGTGCGTGCGCCGGTGCACGTTCAGACTGTCGTTGGACTTGAAGCCGGTGCCGCAAACCTACCCGGCATGGGGGGGGGGGGGGGGCGTTACGGTGCGGCTCACTCAGAGCTGCGCGCCCCCCAGCCATCTTACACCGGCAATACACGTGTGTTGTGTCGTACACAGCGTTTAACGAACGCCACTGAATGTGCTATGCCTATGAGCCGGAGCGTACGTACATTCACGTCGCATGGATCCGAAAAGAGGTAAATCAGTTTCACGTTTCATTAAAGCAAGTCTTTCTTAAAGAATAAGACATTATATGGCATACGTATGCCGTTGCAGACAACGAAAGGTATGCGTAAGGTACGATGTCTATCATTTCAATATGGTGACACATCATCATTCATCATATGTCGTAGCATTTTATGATACCACAGTGCAGCATCATGAAACACAACACTATTTTATCACTTCCACACCACACCATTATCACTTCTCATCAATAGGGCAACACAGAGTAATGCAACGTACTACAGAAGTCTAACGGAGGGATTGAAACGAGGCACTAGTGTCACCGATCGAATGAGCATTCTGACTATCGTCGTCGTCTAGTATGTTGGTATGCAGACAACGCTACGGTCAGTTACCACGGCGGGTGGTCCAGCCGCCATCAGGAGTTGTGGAGCCCTGGGAAGGACCCTGCCATCTGATTATCTGATGTGATCTGATCACTACTGGTCATCTCCTAAATATATTGGGGATGAAGTCCTTATCAGAACACAGCCCGCCGACGGCCGGAGAGGTGCCTGGCAGAAGCGTGTACATCTGCACATGAGACGAGGCCGACAGCCCGCATCAGTGACGTTTCAGATATCCGTATCAGCGACGCTATATACAATGACGTCACTGCGGTTCACCCAAGTAGGGCCTATTCCGTAACCTGTCAATGGTGTGCTCAGCTGTATTCGATGCGAATCCGTATAGTTCGGACACCTCAGCCAGCGCCAGCAGCATCTGCTGCGTGTTGATACCCATCTCGCTAAAGGCCGACACAGTGGCGGCGAGACCCACACTCTCGCAGGTGGCCGGGAGGGGACATATCCACCCCACCGGGGACTGCGGGAGCGACACACCCGCGTGCTCGGGCCGGCCGGGGAGCAGGCGAGACCCACCTCGCAGGTGAAGGGCCGCTCGCCAGTGTGCCGCCGCTCGTGGATGACTAGGTTGCTGGGCCGGTAGCAGCGGTAGTCGCAGTAGCCGCACTTAAGCAGCTTGATCATGCCCAAGTGGCGGCGCACGTGCTTCCGCACCTCCTTCCGGTCCTGGTGCAGAAATAAATACTTTCTTTCGCAAGCCCCTCGCAATCGCGTTACGCGTACGCAGAATAGAACACCATTAGTGAACAAGTCGGTGCGCTTTGGATTTTACGGCAACACAAGTCTGCCACATCTCTCACAAACTACAAACTCACGTTACTTCTTAAAGGGATTGCTCCACATTTGTACGGGGTTGCCAAATGCTATTTCCGCAGCTCTATTGACTAAGACAGAAATGAGCCTGGCAATCCATAAGAATAGCGCGATAACCAAGAATGCACATGCACGTAAAAAACATGACATCACGGACAAATATACAGAATAAATGCCAAAAGGGCTTAAACACGCGCCCACAACGACCTTCGGTTTATCTCGCACGCATAAATTAACAAGCCACCTCTCGGCGAATTGAAGCACTACAAGTGAGTCAGCCCGTTCACTGCAGTGGTCATTCGGACGCGACCAGTCTGGCAGCCAAGCTGACGACACAACTAGGCCACGTGACGCAATCAGCATTGCGTTGTATAGAGCAGTGTTTTGTGCTTAGAAGCACACCAGCAGTTGTAAGTGGGGTTTTCACGTTATATCTGATGCTTGCCTAACTATCTCCAAATGCGGAACATTCCTTCAGCAGCACGATAAGTGACCAAGATGGTGCACTCTCGACTGCCGTGCCGGAGCTCCCAGCACCGTGCAGACCCGGGCAGAGCCGCTCCGTGTCACGCGGATCATCGCACGCGGCCCACCTTGATCTTGGACAGACAGACGATGCATTGGAAGCGCTCGGCGCCACCGTCGTCCGGGTCGACCACTTTACGGTAGTGTTTGTCCACCTCAGTCCAGTCCGTGCGCGTCTTGGCCCGGCTGGTCGGCGGCTGCAGGCGGCCAGACATGGAGTTTACCGTTATCGTCACAGTTCACGGCACGGGTGAACGATGCCGCTCTTGGCAACAGATTGACTGGGGTCATCGAACGCTATGCATCACTCACTGAACGTCAAGGACCAAAAATGCGCTAAGTTAACTGGATGACGCACGCCCCGCTGTCGTGCCTGAGCCCCTTATATCAAAATACACAATGCATACCTAGTGCACAAGATGGTATACGCACAGACACTCCGCATATATATGCATGTGCGTGCGTGCGTGCGTGCGTGCGTGCGTGCGTGCGTGCGTGTGCAGATGCGTGTGTGTGCATGTAATTACACAGCAATAAAATGTATGACCCTGTGCATTCCAGTAAACTCAACACCTTGACGCGATAATATCATTCAAATCCTCCATTCAACTGGCCATGCGGTGTTCAAGGTCAAGAAAAATACGATTGCTGAGTCGTTCATAGCTAGCGTTCATGAGCACGACTTTCAGAAAACACGACCGTTAATAACTCTCAACAAATGTTGTGCCAGCTCCGCAATATCTTATTAAGAATGACTTACGAATAGCGTTGTAGCCGAGTACGTGAGTGCAAGTTAACAATTCTACCCCACGGATAACAGCGCAAGAATACCACGAGAATGGGCCAAGACACGAGCACATAACGATATTTGGCACAGTAAGCACTTGTGCTTGACGTGTTTGCTGTGCTCATGCTTGTGCTTCCCGTTGCACATCTACCATCTATCTCGTCACTACCTCTCGGGTTACTGAAGAACTACAAGTGAGTGCTGTCATGCAAACGTTCCATGACGCAACCAAACAATGACGTATCGAGGAGCACATTTACTAAATAGAAAATTTTGTCTAGGGTCGTTTTTTACACTGAAACGTCCAACAACAGTAATAGTTGAGTTTATTCCATCATATTTGATGCTGGCTTCAATATCTTCAAATGTGGAACATTTCCTTTAACCTCTCGTCTGACTATAATGGGAGCGCTGTTCGTTATCGCGTGTCATCGGTGCCCCAGCGGCCAACCCAGTTCTAACCCGCTGCCGTGCCGCCGTCCCCTCGGCCTTGGACTCGTCCGGCCGAGGCGAGCCCGGGTCATCCGAGTCGGCGACGACAGCCGGCGGCGCCGACGAGGCGTGCGGCAGGCGACGCTCTGATGGGGGCTCGGTCACCAGGTCATCTGCCGCAGAGTGGTCATGCGCTCAGGGGCACGGCGAGGCGGAAGGCACGAGGCGAGACGCTGAGAGCGAACAAGTGGCTCGGAATCCGGCGAGTCATTGGCTGGAAGTCAAGCGAGTCAATGGTTGGAAGCCGATGGAGCCAAAGTTGGTGAACAGGGTGGGCTGTCACCCAAATGAGTCTGTTTGCAGAGTGCAAAATTGGGTTTTCTACGCGTAGCGGAACGCGGAACTACATGCAAGGCACCAAACACGACTATAGATAAGAGTATTGTGATACAACGCATATTTAGTCCGAAACCAGCACCCCACCAATCAGATGGCACCACAACCGTTACCATTCCAATCACAATGAGCAATGTCCAAGAGCCACGTAACAAGCGACACCATGACGAGCAGCATGCCATCAACTGAACACACAACTACAAACTTGGTAACCACAGGCGGCTTCCGCTTGCTTCAATGCACAAAGAAGCTATGTAATTGGTCGCGGTAGCTTCGCCACCCGCGACGTCACGATAACTTACTAGCGTGGCCTGACGTTAACTCATTGGCGTGACGTGACGTTAACTCGCTCGCGTAATGTTGCGTTAACTCATTAACAAGGGGTGACAAAAACTCATCAGCATGACGTGGTTTACTGATTAACTTGACGTGACGTGACGTTAACCCATTAACGAGACGCGACGTTTATTCGTTCGCGTAATGTGATGTTTACTCTCCAACGTGACGTTAACTCATTAACGTGAAGTGACGTGACATTAACTCGTTAGCGTGGGGTAGCGTTAACTCGTTAGCGTGGCGTGTCGTTAACTCATTAACGTGACGTGACGTTAGCGTAACTATGATGAGAATATGAAGTGATATCAGTTAACATTCGTGAACCATTTAGCACTACTCGCTCAATTGGACACATCGCCCGCATAACGCTGTTCCACGCTCTCAGGACGCAACGCTGTAAAACGCTCTCAAGACTACGAACAGATATAATTTGGCTCTCCCCTTACTTCGCCTTGCGAGAGGCCGGCGCCTTAAACCTATGTAAAGCACCGCCCCCTGCCATGTAACATTAGTTTGCGTTTCAATAGTGCAGAGCGCGTCTTAATGACCCTTTTCTTCCAAGATTTCAGTGCCTGTGTCAATTGGCAGATCCCTTGCGTGCAGGGACACAGTGTGTTAACAAAGGACTGCGGCGCATGTCGCTACGTCTATTTTGTGGAGCACCAGCGACCACATTGGCCACATAAGCACCCAGGGGCTAACGCGCATCCGAAATTTAAACCCATGCCCCCTCGTGAGAGTCTGACGTGCTAACCACTCGGCCAATACGCCCCGCGCTATATTTATCGCTGCTAGGGCTTTGCGACACGTTTTCGACAATTTGGTATTTCCACAGTTCGTCTCCCCCACATGTGTCAACATTGTGTCACTGATACCCGCAAAACACACCGCTATGGCCCGCCGTGGCCCACGCCGATATTAGACGAGCGTGAACTGATGTCGTGGACCGTCACAAACGTTGAACTCGTGGCATACGCGCATTCCCCTGTCATCCATGAAACAGACTGTGCTGTGCGTCTGGTTAAAATGCGTACACAGACGGGCACAGACAGGCAGACGTACGCTAATAATACAGCACCTAAACTGGATCCTTCCAAAGAGTGTGACTGGCATAACAGGAGACAGAGACCAGCTGCAGCAGGCGGCCCTCACCGATATCGGTGATCTCCATCTTCAGCGGTGTCTCCGGGTGTAACGCCGCGTCCGCCGCCGCGGCCGGCTCGGTCTTCACAGGCCCTTCGCCAGTCCGCAGTCGGCGCCGAGCGTTACTCGAAGGCAGTGTGCCTTCCGCGACAGCCGGCGGCGCAGTTACGTCGGCGTCCGCCTTCGACGCCGGTGGTGCGAGCGGGCCGCGCGCGGGCGCCTGCGTCCCAGCGTCAGCGACACGCGACACCTCCGACACGGAGATCTGGCCGCGCGCAATGAACGTCTGCCAAAACTTTTGCTTGAAGTCGGCGCGGATGCGCGAAAGTGCCGTCTCATACTCGTCGACCAGGTTAAGCTGCGCGGCGCAGCCACTGCACACGTACTCAGAGTACCGGCCGAGCTCGGCGGCACGCAAGCTGCTCTGAACGCACTCCAGGATCTTGTCAGCCAGCACGGCACTGCTCGTGTTGGTGAAGGAGCCGTGGATGTTCCAGTAGACATGGTCCAGGCCCTGCACGTTACACACCAGGCAGTAGATGGGGGCGAGCGGCGGCGCCCCGAGCTCCACCGTGCCGGTCTGTAGGCGCGGGCCGCCCGCCAGTGGCTCGACTAGGCCGAGCACAGTGGCGCCTGGCGGGGACGGCATCACCACCGCCGGCGTCGGCACCTCAGGCGGCATCACCACCGCCGGCGTCGGCACCTCGGACGGCATCACCACCGCCGGCGTCAGCAGTTCAGACGCCATCTCTGCTGGCATAGGTGAGCACAAGGTCGGGACTCAAAGACATTGTAACGTCTCACTCACCATAACTTGGCAGGTGACAATTGCTCTTTAAGCCGAGCACCGAACTTCAATGCGACAGAATGTCCCGAATGATTAACCAATGAATGTAGACTTAGCGTGCTTGCCATGTTTAAACTTGGATGGTGTTTAACATGCACAAACAGCACAAGAACCAATGTCCCCCTTTTGATGCACATGAGGCAGAAATCAGATGAGCACTGGTCAGCTGATTTTACACCTACACATATTTTACTCCTTACCCCTATGCTCATTCCACTGTCTGTGTACAAATAAAATGTAACCAAAATAGCAAGCAATAGCAGGCAGAGTCATGATGCCCCATGCTGTTTGCCATTAACAAGGACTGTTGAATATTCATTCGAGGTTTTGGGCTGAGATGGACAGGTGCACTGTGAGGTCTTTGTGAAGACTGCATCTAGGCCCTTGCCTGATGAGAGGAAGGCTGACAGACCCCTCAATGCTTTTTGTGGATATCTTGAAAGCCAAGACAACTTGAGAGCCAATTGATGGCAGTAATATCTGGGAATCATGTTCATGAACAACAGATATGAGCCACTCGGCAATGACATTTATACTGAACTTGAATGCTGTATGGCCAGTGGAATTGCCAGATTTGAATGACATTTTTATGGAGCCATGGATGCCTGCGTAACTGAATACTCAAGACATCTTGGCAGGCATGTAGCTGGCATGTGAAACTGAGATATTCTGAAAATGTGGCTTAGGTGCAAACAAAAATAAAATTTGGATGGGCCTTCAGAAATCCTCAGGTCTAAGCCTCATACAGGCCATTTTCCTCACAAAATGTTGGGAAAAGTTGCTACAAGTTATGGGAAAAGAAATCATTGCTCTTGGCTTAAAGAATTTGTGGTACAGGAATTGTCACTGATCATTCAAGTGTGCAGAAATTTTACTTTGTTGTTGATTAGATGATTGCCATTATTATATGTCAATTGGTTTGATGTTGATTGGATTTACAACAGGACACTGTTATTGTTTGGATGTACCTGTGGCACACAGTCACTCTTCAAATATTCAAACCATAAGAAATGTACCAGTTTTGACACACTGCAAGTCAATGAGAATGGGTCAAATCCTTTCTCTGATGATGATAGTTAAATTATCGGTCCTGGTAATCAAGGTTTCAATCCCATCCCCAATGATTGTGGTGGGAATGATTGCAACCTCATCCGCACATGTCCTAGCACAGTAAGCACACCTAAGCTGAAAGATCCCCACTGTATGGTATGATGATACAATATTTAAAGACCAAAAGGGAATGTTTTACATGTGAATATATTGAAGCAAGCATCAGATATGAAGAAATAGGCTCACTTACCACCATTGGTATACTTTTAAAGGGAAAGGACTGCTCTACACAACACAATTTCTCTGGTAAATATCCTTCTCAGAACATCACCATTTGGTTGTTCCCATATCTTGCACTATAGAGTGAAGACCAATTAACAGCTGCTATATCTGGAAATCATTATGTCCAGATTACATGTGGATATTGTTATATCCATGAACCATGTTCGCAAACCAGACATGCATTGTGTGACAATTGTTTTTATCTGCCTTTGTCTTGATTGCCATGTGACCAGAAAAATGACAGGATTTGTGTAAGTTATTACAGCATCATGGATGCCTGGTTAACCTTGAAATAGCCTGCACAAAATAGCCTGCATATCTTCACAGGCATGTAGCTCAGAAACTAGAGAATTTTAGGTCTTAAGAAGGGCAAAGCTGTGAACTGCACTGAGTAGTCTTTGGCTTAAACTTTACTTAAAAGTTACTTCTTCACTTACTTCTTAAAAACTTCACTTAAAGTTACTTTCTTAAAACTTCACTTAAAAGTTAAGGTTACTTCAGTTAAAAGCCCCATGCAAATGTGTAATGCTTTCTTCATAATGCTAGAGCCAAATTCTGTTAGATTCTGATGAGCAGCTTTTGCCTTTCCACATCTCTAGCTCAATTCCCACCAGATGGACATAACCTATTTCACTTGTTGCAAATAACGCAGCATAATGAGCAGGAGGGAGCATATAGAGCCAGCACGGCCAGCATGTGATAAGAAATAGTTGAAAAATAGCTGGAAATGCATAAGATTTGTTACAGACTGTCACATTATTAATCATTTCTGTTAATTTGCAGCAGTCTAAAAAAATACTTAAGTTGGACAAATCAACACTGCGCAGTGGAGGTAAGTCAAAATTGGGTCGAAAATGATAACTGATGTGAAACATCTGGGATAACAGAAGCATCAGATTGTTGGAAAGGTGTGCAAACAATTTCCAGAAAACACAACCCAGAAATAATTTTCCATTAAACATCTAAAAGATCAGCTCATCAAGAGAGCAAAAATCAGCAAGAGAAAAAATCAAGAGAGCTCTGCACACAAGTGCACCAAGTTCAGAGTATAAATTTAAATAAGGTGCCTGGCCATTGGCACAGTGGACCCAGTTTTGTTGTTGCCTAACACCAGAGTACAAGGGAAAAATGCTACCAAAATTACCTGGGTAATGCAGCAGACTTACTCCAATGCATTCAGTGCATGCACACTAAACATTGGTAATCAGGGCTTAATGCATGGTTACCATCAACTTCATAACACTGAGCTAACGTCTTACGGAAAGGTGATGTGATAGCAGCTTGAGGTTAAAACACTTCCAAAGCCTTTTTCAAGCGAAGACAAATTGCATAACCAACAAAATTTAGAGCGAGCTGAGTTTCGCGCCAAGTTCAGTGGACCGATATACCTGGCAGCAGGAGTAATCAGGACCTCAATTCTCAATGCGCTTATGATTACTAATTTTCATAAATCTTCGAACATATGATCTTCTTTTCTGTTATTAATCCAAACCTTCCAATAACCATTCAGGCCTTTCAGGCGCTGGCATGCAATCGCATGCACGAAATTCAGTCAAAACCAACATGCAGCGGAGCTACCTTTACCTCCCCGCCGACAACCCTACCTGCGGGTAACAGTATCGGCACATGTGGCGCATCAACAAAGCCACTGGAACATTTAGTACCAATGCTGCCTAAATTTGGGGTGCGGCTAAACCCTTTCATTTCCGTTTAACTGACAAAGCTTCCGCCCTCGAGTTTACCTCAGATCACGATGAAGCTTGTAATGAAGCTTTTTGCCATGCGTAAACTCAAAATGTTCCTGGCCGAACGCGGTGACAAAACTTCGGTTGGCTCACATGAGCCACCTTACTCGTTTTTCATCAATCTTTCTACTTTAAACTTAGCAACATTTTTATACGCTGTCAACACCCTCTGGATTAATCACACCCCTAGGCGCATGGCTCCAAAGCACGTTCATTCTAATCCTGAAGCCCGGCGGATAGGATGTCCGCAAACCCATATCGTCCAATATCGCTCACAAATTGTGCATGTAAGGTGGAACGAATGGTCAGTACGCGCCTCCCATGGTTCCTGGAAACAAATATGTTGGACGGCTCCAAAAGTGGTTTCCGAAGTAACCATAGTACTGCAGAAAACATCATACATCTCACTATGAATGCACAGGCAAACTGGGATCGACAACTTCCCACCGTCGCTGTGTTCTTTGACCCTATATCAGCATTTAGCAAAGTTCATCGCGACACCGTGATGTGCAAGTTGGATGGTAATCGCCTTAGGGGCCACTTAGCGTATTTTCTTGCTTATTTCTTACGGAGCTGTTCCTTCAGTGTACGCTGCCAATCCACGGCACCTGACTTACACCGTATGGATCATGGTGTTCCCCAAGGTGGTGTTCTTTCTCCAATGCTGTTTCTTATCGCCATAAAAGATGTTTTTCTGACACTCCCCAACAGCCTAGGATGTATCCAATATTCGCTGTTTGCTGACGATCTTGCTATATGGAGCTCACACAGAAACTGTCGAGAGTCTTTCACAGCTTTACAAAAAGCAATCGATCATTGCGGGATGGGCTGCTCAGAATCGGGCCTCTTTCTCTCCACTCCCAAGTCCACCATGCTCATTTTCAAACGAAGCCTTTTACCGTCACTTGCCGTCTCTCCAAAAATTTGCGGTATTCCTATACCATCCTAAAAGTCGCACAAATTTCTCGGAATTACATTGGACTCAAATCAAACCCTCCAAGCACACATAGAGGATGTCAGAAATTGATGCTTAAAATGGCTTAACGTCCTCACGTGCTTTGTTGGTCATACCTGGCATGCAGACCGAACGACGTTTACCACACTTTATTTAGGTCCCATCCGATCAACACTGGAGTATAACAGCTCCATATTCAGTATTATCTCGGTCAACCTTTGCAAATGCTTGGAAGTCATTCAAGTCAATCTGCCTGCGTCTGATCACAGGGGCCTTCCTCGCGACCCCAGTTCTCGCCATTCGTTCTGACACCAACCTGCCAGCGCTGGGAGGCTGGCGGTACATGTTGCTTCTTCGGTGCTGCTACAAATGTCAGAGCGTGATGAACCACGCGGTATGCGCCGCTCTTGAAACCAATAGACCGCACCCACAAAGACAGCAGCACAGGTCGTGCTTCCTGTTCGACGCTATCAAACGGACGTGACGAGCTCTTGACATCCCATGTATACGTGCTGCTCATAACCTTCCATTGACGCCGTTCTGGTTTTACAATGATCTATCGATAGAGTGTCTATTTAAGAAATCTGAATTGTCTCCTGATGAGGCATAGTCTGCCTTCCCGGAGTACCGAAATACGCACTCCCAGTCCGTTTTCTTTTGCACCGATGGACCTGCTCATGGTGACCAGGTTGGTGCAGCAGCCGTCAGTCCTGACTTTCGATTCACCGGACGTCCTCCAGATTTATGCAGGGCGTTCTCTGCGGAAGTATATGCTATAAAACAAGTGCTGTTGCACATCGGAGTCGGGCGTATTCCCCAGGCCACGATACGCACAGACTCCAAGGCATCGCTGCAAATTATTTCCTTATCCTTCCTTCAATAATCCAATAATCCTTCAGATTATTTCAACCACCCGAGAGTGTATGACATGCATAATATAATGCTTTCGCTACCTACCGACCAACGTGTGACCTTTCTGCGGACACAAGGACATCATGGCATCGCGGGAAATGTCCTCGCCGACACCCTTGTGAACAAAGGTATCCGTCTACCAACGCCTCTGGAAGTATATGTGGGTCTAGGTGATGTTCTTCATTTAACTGAAGTCCGTCTCCCTTGGTATTTGCAGATTCGGCGGGATGACTCGCATGCTAGCCACATGTATCGAATCAAGCTTACACTTCAACCATGGGTGACGTCCCATCAGGAGAACAGGCAGAGAGAAGTGGTTTTAGTGCGTTTGAGATGTGGTCACACTCGTCGCACCCACAGCCACCTATTCAGTCGCTCTGCACCACCGGTCTGCGAGACTTGTAATGCCCGGCCTACGGTTGAAGACGTACTGGTCAGATGCGCTGCTCTTACCCGGGAACGTCGCTGTGTCATGAGTTACTTGCTAGCACACCGTCTGCTCTACATGCTCCAAACGCTGCTGGGCGACGATGTTCCTGTCTTAACGGACCTTCTCCTGGGCTTCGTGATTGAATCGTCACTGGATGTGAAGATCTGACGACACTTGGTTCGCCACTTACCACCGTGGTATCTATGAATAATGCCGAGAAGAGGCAACGGCCTGGCACTCAAAGTAGCCAAGCCTTTACTCGCGGTGTTTCCCACATATATGCACTAAATTGTGATCCAAATGACGACCTTTGTTGACCATGTTTTCCGTATTGCCTAGCCTATCAAAGCAAAATTGTATATGTGTGGTTTTACCTGCTTCCCCGCTCTAAAGTGGTCACCGGATTTATTTAGGATGAGCCGGTTTTTGTGCGGGGTCATTTGGGGACCCCGCTTTCCCCTCTTGGTGAATAACGTAAGTCGAAGCCACTAAAAAAGTACTCACCAAAGGGGATTTTTAGTACTGATTGGTCTTTGTAAGCAGTTCAGCGACAATCCGTACTAAAGAATCGTCAAAGGCGGCTACAGCCATGGCCATAACCGTGGTGGGGCAGCCGTTGAGGCCACGCAGATGGCGCCACCCAGTCGCGGTCAGCGCAGGGGACGCCCCGCCCGGCGAAGGTACGGACAAGCGAGAGGCAGGTTCAGCTCGGATCTCTCCTGTCGATTGATTGCGCTCTCTGCGCTGACACCCCAACACGCTTGGAGAAGCCTGCACTAGCAGTGAAGTATCGCCTTTGGAGGCGTATGCATCGTTGTCGTCCTTTTGACTGTGGGACAGGCTGGTACGGTACCGAGTGCTGCCATCGCATCATTTCCGCACCACCATTGCGTTAGCAGCGCGGGCAGTGATCACCGCACCCTTGTTATTCACCTGAGACGGAAAACGCCGGTGGACGGAGGAAGGGTGGCAGTGATTTGCCAGTTCAGTTGTGAGCAGTTTGACTTCCAGCAATTTTGAGCCCGCGTCAAATTATGAAATTTGAAGGTCGCCGAGCATAGCTGCATGCTCTTGAGACGGCAACATTGTTACCCCTTTGTATATGTTTGGACCTCATAGACGACGCCAAAGTTATTCTAAGCAAGCGGCTTGGCCAGGGTGCGATGACCCTAAGAGTCGCACCCGTGAGTGCGCCGCTGTCGCCGGGAAGATCTGGAACGTGTCCGCGAGCCGACTCGGGGGGACTTTAGCCTCCTGTCAACTCGCCGGTTGTTTATCACCGAATTTTTCGTGTGGCTAATGTCAGCCGTGTCCCATTCACTTTCATTGTTCACCGTCTGTAAATTTGTGCATCACGATGAGTTGCATCTTCTATATTTGAACGACTTGACTCATGTGACTTGTGGCCTGGGGTAGCATTAAAGGCCTTTTTTATTTCGCGGTCAGTCAGTGCGAACTGTCACGTGTTTGTGGCCTGACAGCTGCTTTCACTGGCCTCCGCGAACGTCTCTTTTTATCTTGGTTCGATGTCGTGACTCGCATACATACTCCACACGCTGCCAATCTGGGCTGCGGCGGCCCCTCGCAGCTGCGTGGCCACGCCTCCTGCGCCCGCGCGCTGGGGCTGGCACAGCCCGTCGCAGCCCTACCACGGCCTCTCTCCCGCCTCGTGACGTTCCATACGATGCCGCTTGCGGGGACGATGGATGGTATGTTCTGCGTGATGTGCGCTGACGCAGTGCGTGAGACAGTGATTGAGCAGCCCTCCGTTGGGATGTCTGACGTCATTTTAGGTCACGTGTGTCATGTGACGGACGCGCAATTTGGGACCCGCACTGGTTGGGTGCGCAATTTTCCGCGAAGCTGCCATCCTGCTTATATATTGCAAATGCCTGGACAGCGAATGTGGTTTCCGTTGCCCAATTTGTCATCAGCACGTTGTTATCGCTGCGATGCATCCGAAGCTTCACGGTGAAGGGCTGTGGGTTTTGTCAAGGTGCCCTCGTGCCCCTGGCAGCGTGCTTGGTGTGTGGCTGTGTTGGTGGCATAACGTCAGCACAGACCTGAGCCGCTACCGTCCCGGATCCTACCGGTGGCGGTGTGTCGCTAGGCCCTGTCGGTTGCGTTAGGCTGCCAGCCTGGACCACCGGCAGTCCTGACCTGCCGGACCGGCCGGCGCCTGCCCTGCCGGACCGCCGGCGCCGAGGTGGACCACCGCAGCCTGACCTGCCGGACCGGCCGGCGTCTGCCCTGCCGGACCGCTACCTGATCTGCCGGACCGGCGCCCGATCTGCCGGACCGCCGTCCGACCTGCCGGACCGCCCACCCGATCTGCCGGACCGCCACCTGCCCTGCCGGGACCACCGGCCTGATCTACCGGACCGGCGCCCCGATCTGCCGGACCGGCACCTAGCCTGCCCTGCCGGACCACCGCCTGATCTGCCGGACCGGCGCCCGAATCTGCCGGACCGGCCGCCGCCTGCCCTGCCGGACCACCGCCCTGATCTGCCGGACCGGCGCCCGATCTGCCGGACCGCCGCACGATCTGCCG